TATATCCTATCAACTACAAAAAAGTTTTTTTTGTTGGCGTCTTTGTCAAATACCATAAACAACAAACAATCTTTGTTGGCGTCTATGTAAGTTTTCTTTGTATGTTTGTTTGAATTGATTAGTCGGTTGTGTTGTACATGTATGCCTGTGATGTATGTTTACACAGTTTTAACTGGTGGCTCCCAATTATTGTCACATTAACATACTATGTCTGTTTGGGTTGCTCATCCAATTTTGCCAATATAACAGATCTTTAAACAACAGTTACTGTCATACAAGTGGGAGGTTTAGCTAGCTATAAAACCAGGTTTAACTCACCATTTTCTTCGGAAAATGTCTGTACCAAGTAAGGAAAATGACGGTTGTATCCCATTCGTTTCTTTGGTTGATAAAGTCTCACGTTTGGTTTTGTCAGTTGGAGTTAGGTAATTTTGTTATTCTTTTTTTATATTTGTAAATAGAACATTAAATGAAGATTGTTGAGTAATGAATGACCAACTTCAAGCATCAAATAAGTAAAATCGAAAACAATTTAATGATAAATCCAGGTAGGTTCGGCAAACTGGATAGATCAAAAGATTGGCGAAAAGTTGGAACTGTCATCGAAAAAGTTGGTATGCAATATAGGAGATATGTTTTGTCATGCATAATGTTTATTGGCAGACAAGGGAAACCCGTTTCGTTCTTTTTATAATACAGTTATATAACTGGTGAGACAAAACCATGGAAATATAACCGTACAAACGATTAAGGTAAAAAATCAATAGTTGTTTACTTCTGTAACCATGTTGATTCAAAGTAATGTTAAATCTCCTTTTAAGATTTAATTAGCCCGTTCTAGTGTTGTTTTGGATCTTTGTCCTTCAATGCACATATCATGTAGTGTTATCGACTTCTAGCATAGGATTAAGGTAAAACCCGTACTAGGGACTTCCTTCAAAATATCTCCTGCAAATGTACAATAGCTCTAAGAATTAGTCATTTAAGAGCTGGAATGCGAATTGCACAGAAAGATTTAAGAGAACGGTGTAAGCATATCAATTGATTAGTTAAATCTTTATTAAACCTAGGTCTAAACAGCTAAAAAAATGACTATAATTTAGGTAAAAGCATCTTATTTTCCCTGCGTTCTTTGCTTTTCCTCCATCAGGTATCCCGCATGTCAAGCCAATCCGCCAACTTTGCAGAACATGTATGATATAGGTATTTTCTTTATCGAGTTATGGCGTTTGAACATCGACACACTGCCATTGTTTAAATGCATGCATATTAAGTACGAGAAAAATTTACAATAACTCATGCATGCATTTTAACAATAGCAGTATGTCGATGTTCAAATGTCATACAAATCAAGGTAAGAAACATAAACTGAGGGAATCGTATGAACTTCAGAAGGTGCCTAACATGGTAAGTGTCTCATGCTATGCACACGCTGTCAAAATGTCACAAGCGGAAATAGGACACAATCGGTACAATTACAGATCAGACAACTATTGTGTTATATAAAAATCTAGGACCAGAACCACTGACACATCGAATCGGTCAATCAATTCGGGATGGTGACCATAATATTAGACGTTCCCTTGTCACCATTGTATGGTGTTTATATATTTCAACTTGTTCGATTCGCTCGTGTATGTAACAATGTATTTGATTTTAACAAAAATAATCTGTATTACTGAAAAATTATTACACCAGGGTTTACGGTATCACAAACTTGTCAAAACTTTTACTAAATTTTATCATCGCTACATGGACATTATTCGTAAATATAAATCAACGGGCAGACATCTTATACGTTCAGGTATTTCACATTCCATCTTTAATGGTAATATTCTATGCAAAGCACAAAAAATGTCGCCATTCGAATATAGTTACTATACTGTTGTCAAGTCATTAATGATGACATTTTTTGGAATTAATATTGATTCACTCATAGGGTCTTTGCATCGGAAATAAACACATTTATTCTAAAACCAGTTGTTGGCATGATAAGGGTTATGTTCTTCTCGTATAATTTATGACGGCGTGATACTAAACCCCTTACGGAAGGGATTGTGGTTGATTTTCATATGATCTTTCAATCAGTTTAATTGTAGTCTGGCATGTGATAACTGCTTGTAGTCCTTTATTAATTTATGTTCATCATTGTAATTTTGCTTAGGTTCTTCTGTTACCTGTTCAAACATCGGACTCGGACTTCTTTTAAACTGAGTTTTACTCTGCGTTTTGCTGTGAATTTGTTTAATCCACATTGGCAAGAGGTTTATAGGGAGGGGGTTGAGATATAACAAAACATGTTTAACCCTGCCGCATTATTGCATCCGTCCCAAGTCAGGAACTTCTAGCCTTCGTTAGTTTTGCATGTTTTTTTATGTTTATCATTTTCATTTTGCTTAGTTTCTTCTGTTACCTATTTTATCATCGGACTCGGACTTCTTTTAAACTGAGTTTTACTGTGCGTTTTGCTGTTTGTTTGTTTATCAAACATAAGCTAGAGGTATAAGGGGAGGAGGTTGAGATCTCACAAAACATGTTTAACCCCGACGCATTTTTAAACCTCTAGCCTTTGTTAGTCTGTTGTGTTTTTTTTTAAATTTTGGTTCATTTGTATGTTTCAGAGTTTAGTGTACCGTCCATTTCGCTGAACTAGTATACATTATTGTTGCAAGCTAATTTAAAAGTCCGCCTCCGAGCTTCAACAATGAGAAAAACCCATACCGTATAGCTGGTCTAAAAGGCCCCGATATGAAAACTAAAGACCATTTTATTAATAGCCATACTTATATGGTTTTTGGCGTTGTATTGACAGCTGCAAATTGGGAAAATCATGTTTTTTAGGTAGTATTCAGGCGTTTGTGGTTTTTATAAACATTGTAACATGATGTATTAGTTTAAACATATTTTATTGTTCAGAAACTAAACAAATAGATGGAAAATGGTTTAGGTACATAAAACTCTGCGAGTTGATGATTTTTACACAACTAATAAAACGCACCTTTTGATCTTTTGGTGTTCTACTTAGTACATTAAACACGTATATATCTGACGTAACGCATAAAATAGTATATCATTGTGCACGGAATAGACGGATTTTCAACTTCGATATAAGTTTTGAGAAAAAAAAGATTTATACACATGTTCTAGACTGTAAGAACAATCGATGTGTTTAATAGCTATTACAAAATTTGCCATTATTTCATCGACTCGCAAAGTTTATTTCGCTAAACAAAGGTGACAGATATGACCATGCGATAAGTATGTGTACTTATTATCATAACAATTACAATGGTTTGTTATGAGGATATAACATGCAATCTTCAATATACCTGTTCGCTGATGATTGTACCATCTATCGACCTATCAAGACCAAACATGACGGTCAGACCAAGAAATCCTGCAAAACGATTTGACAAGTATAACAAAATGGGAACAGAAATGGAAAATGGAATTTAATGTCAACAAATGTAATGTGATGCACCTAACACGATCCAAACACCCGATTAAAGACCTTATTATATGCATGGTAAACAACAAGAGACACTCACGGATACAAAACTTAGGAGTTACCATCAAAGATGACCTCAGCTGGAACCTACACATTAACAACATTGTAGCCAAGGCAAACAAAGCACAAGGGATGCTCAGTAGAAATATCAAAAAAGATCCAGAGCAAACAAAGATCAAAGCTGTTAATGCACAAGTAAGACCGAGAGTGGAATATAGCGCAGCAATATGGGATCCCTACACGCAGGATAATGTCGACAAAATAGAGCGAGTACAGAGAAGAGCAGCTCGAAACGTCTACAATGATTACGAATCAAGTGTCACCAGCATGATAAACAGGCTTAACTGTATACCTCTATACAACGAAGAGTTAACATCAGATAATGCTTACTATACAAAATTATAAATGGATTCGTAGCAATTCTAACAGAAAACTACTTGATCCCACTAAACAGACCATCAAGACACTACAATTCCATGGCATACACCATCTTCAGCCCAAAACACGACTATTTCAAGTAGTCATTCTTTCCAAGAACAATAATAGCTTGGAATAAACTACCGGACTCAACAGTGAAAGCTCCCACTATGGAGGCTTTCAAGACACTGATTGCGTAGATGATGGAATGTTTGAATCCTGCACAACCTGTACAGCATGCACCGTATTTTTGACGTTTGTATTTTTTCATTATAAATAGTCATTACCAGCACCTACGCACACACAAAGTATTGAGCACTCATCAATGAGTTTAACTACTATATATAAGAAGAAGAAGAATAGAAGGAAAAAGTTCAGTATATTTTATATATTTATGAACATTCACAAAAATAGCAGTATTTATTTCGATGGTAAGGAGTTAGTTACCATATAATCAAATATCAGTATTTAGTTGTAAAATCGCCTAAGTCTAACAGATACAGCTCTCAAATAAAGTATTTCTATGTAAAGTGTATCTGTTACAATCAAATAAATAGTGTCCTACACTTTCATTTCTATGTATATGTAAGAGAATGGTAATCCCTTTCTTCATGATTAAGTACGAGCGATAGCGCAAGGCTTAAATGATCTCTTGATTGGTGGTATTCAAGAATTAGTTTCATTGTCAGTGCAATGTTTATAATTGATGCATGACTTCCTTTTTCGGCATTTCATTTATGGATTAGTTTTAGCGATGTAAGGACTCTCTTATAATTTGGGAAATATTTTTAAAAAAATGCGGTATAGACATTAGGTGACACAACAGTACAAAGAAAAGGTAGGCATTGTATGTTTCCTGATTGTGAATATGAATGTAAATCATGTAAATTGAATATTTTAGTGAGGAATTATCTTTTTTCTTTTAAAGTTTAAATCAATAAATACATTTGAGTTACAGATAAATTTTATTTCACTCTGCTTTCTACATGAAATACTATTTCATTATGTCAGGGAAATGGTCAAATAAAATGCCTTTAAAAGTTTTAAATATGTTCAAACTTTAATTAAATTCCTGTTTTTTTTTTTTTTTTTTTGTTTTGTTTTTTATTTTATTGGAATATAGGAAAGAACTAATCTTCCCAATCGGTGATCCAATAATCAAAGTTTTGGAAAGCTAAAGATTTAGGTTTTTTTTAATTTTAAAACTTTTTTTCTTTTTTTGCATTGCTTATGATATTGTTTAATATTTTAGTAATTTGAAGTTATTGATATTTTCATAATAATTTCACGGACCCAATTTTACCGCAACGGTAAACTTCAACTTATATAGATGTTTTGTTTGTTTCACAATTCAACTTTTAGTCAGTTTCAATCACTGTGTGATAAATCCTTTCAAATCTCATAAATGTGCTTCGGGGCAGTTGTAACTCATTTATAGAAACTCTTTGTTTTGAACTGTAAATAGACCCAAATAATAGGATAATCCCTTACTAAGAACATGATTTACATCCATTCTTCACAATTAAGAGACATCAAATCCTACAATTTCATTAGTCGAGAGCACTTTGTTATATTCTAAAACCACTTAAACATGATGGATCAGGAACCAAATTACAACGAAATAAATCACCATTTAATGAACTACACTCATTTCTTAATTTTGTGTGAAGAACGTTCATATACCGATCTCCACATGATCTATTAAGATCGGAAACAACACAAAAATCGAATATTGCCCATGATTTCATAGATTAATTATTTCAAAAAATTATAGTCTTTTAATATTACATGATTTGTAGCAAGGGATACACAATATACCAATTAGAATACCGACTGTCTGTTGGAATATCAATACACTAACCTCATCTAACGTTTGGTTAATAAAGTAAGTCAGAGAAAATATTAATCTTAGAGCGTTTATTGATCATGTCATCTTAAATTGACAGCAATACTACATAAATGTTTTTAATCGAACACAACACCTTTACCTTTACATTTCTTCTTACACATTATTCGTGTTACATATATGTAGAAATCTGCACTTCAGGAAAACATTTAGAACAATCAATATTACTATTACTCTCAAATACAGATGAGTTAGGTTCGTTTTGTTTTTTTGACGGCGGAAACACGTTATCTGTTTTGGCGTATATTGACGCAAATGGAATCATTATGAAAGCACCTAAAACAAACATTCCACATCCAATATAGTATGATATCCCATGTGAACTGAAACGATCGTTAATGAACGCTGAAAGAAAAATGGGAATAACAATTTTAATTAATTTCTTAAAAAATTATATATTGAAAATAAGTTGCACACATTTTCACAATTAAGAAGAAAGCCACATTAGTAATAGTATTTATTTTTAATATACCTACAGTTAAAATGGAACAAAATTATCATTGAAGTATCATAAGTATGCAACATCGTTAAATTAAAACACAATCCAAATTGTATGATGCTGTTTTATGATAAAATTTTGTTTTCTGTAATTCAAATATGTTGTGCAAATGGTGTTAGTTAGATTCATTAAAACGATGTATCATTTTACCTGTAAAAGGACTCCCAACTGCTAGTCCAATTCCAGCTACAAAGTAAGCTATGCTGATTCCCCTTTCGTAGTATTTAAGTTTGATAAGGTTGAACAGACTAATATTCCAGCCGACACTAGATGCTCCTTTAGAAAAGAAAATCAGTTTATTGAAAATTATAACCAATATTTGTCCGAATTTTTTAAACCTTCCATTTAGCATCTCTCTCTCTCTCTCGTCTGGCAGCATTTTAATGATAAGTATATATCATATGATAAATGTATATCATATGATAAAAACTTAGAGATAGAAACTACCATCAACCACTATCATCAAAGTATATCTGAAGAGAAAGTGTATGCAGTAAAAAATTCTCATTAAGTCTGTGCGTCTTAGCTTTACGATAAAAAGGAATTAACCATAAATATATTTCTTCAATAGCATTTCGTACACATAATAACCGTTTCTTCTTCGGAATATATTTACCTTCAAAATATCCATAAATAATCATGAAGATCATAAACTCTTCCAATTTCGTTGAAAACGGTACCATTAACATTATAAGCCCACTGCAAGTCAAACAAATTATCCAGAATTTTACCACATGACACTCAAAAAAATGTGACAAAACGCCGAAAGAGATTCGACCGAACATATTTCCAATTCCACTAACTGCTATTGCAAATGAAATATCCTTGACAGTTATTCCAATTGACACAGCATGTTTTGGAATCTGAGTGCTTGGTATATACAATGCAGCCATAAACAGAAAGTTTGTAATCATATACGCTATGTAAGGTGGTTGCACACAAAAGGAAATGTCTACAGTCTCTTTATTACAACATGCTATCTGTTTATCTTCATCCTAAACACAAACAATTGAATAGAAAATAAAAGATGTTAATACATGACATAACGTTACACACGCACTTGTCGAAATCCATAAAGCTGTTCTTCATCTAAAAGTTAAATTTATTCTTCTTTTTATAAATATGAATAGATTGTGAGATGTGATATATCTAAAACTCTTAAAATAATTCTTTAATATTTATTTCTATTCACCAATCGGTTTTTGGCCTGACTTGGTATTTTATTCATTAATTTAAAAGACAAAAGGTCCGTAATAAAATAACATGTAAGAGCAATTCTTTGATTTATACATCTGCCATACAGTTGTGCGCAGACCGCAAATTAATCGCAAAGTTAATATATTTTTTAAATTCTACCTCTAGGTCTGTTTTTTTTTCTAGTTAATGTCTATTGTATTGCTTTTACAATATAGTAACAGTTGTTCAGATAAAGAGTACATGAAGTTAACTTTAAGCGTCCAAGTACATGTTTAACTTAGCTTGTCTGCACCGAACTGTATGAACTTTGATGTACTCAATGATTGAAAAGCACCTACAACACTATTAATTCCATATAGCCCCAAGTCAAATTTATGTGACAACAAAGCAAAATGGTGAAGACAAGAATCGTGTAGAGATAGTAACAACTGCTTAATCGGCTCCTGACTTGGATTCAAATAGTTTTATAGGTACTCAACTATACCATATGATCTCAATAAAAAGAAAAAAAACCCGTTATATCTAATTTAATAAATGTGAAACAAACCAGCTTTCCAGTACCTCAACATCAATATGAATGTGTCAATGCTTCGGGCAATCAAATTGCATTTCATTTCATGAAACAATTAGTTCTGATATTGGTATTCCGATCTCGTTTAACTTTCGAATTGCACTAGAATTGCTTGCACTTTACCAAAATAAAAGTTGGAAATGGTATTTACTTTATTGTAAACAAACGAAGGTCAACATTTTTACTATTCATATATCAATTTGAAATGAGAATAGGAACGCGGAATGTGTCAAAGACATAACAACCCGACCAAAGAGCAGAAATATTTTACTTATACTTACACCATTTTCTTCAACAAGTTGTTTACTTTTAGTTGGAAATATTGCTGCTCCACACGCTACTAAATTGAAACTCAAACCAGCATGAATAAGCAATGCACCATTCAATCCATATGACTCTGCAAGAGACCTTATTAGAAGTGGAAACGATAGCATACCAACAGAAGCACCAACTACTCCAAAAGACACGGAAAGCATTTTAGCTTTTTGGAAATATCTGTTAACTGCAATTACTATACTGACCCTTGAAAATGATATTCCAAGACCTGAAATAAACTTTTCAATTAAAGTGGAGACAGAAAGATCACACAATAATGACAGTTTTTTTGACAAAGTTGTGTTGAAACAAATGGATATCTTATAAGATAATTATAATAGCAAATTATATCATTTTGACTTTCGATACGGTATGGCTTTATGTATCATGTGACATAATATGACTCAAAATTACAATGGCGGTTAAATCGAGAGGTGGATCAGAGAAGGCCAATTGCTCCAGATTTCTTTTCACAAAAGTAAAATACTTCTGCGATCTTTCCGAACCCTTCTTATTACATGGATATGATACCATCTAAAAAAAAATTCTTGTGCATGGATATAAAATAAATTTACTGCATGTAAATTAATGTCAATATACTGGCCTTTACGGCGCGCCATATTTCAAGCTTATATGCCAGTCATTTCCATACCTTTTGATTGTTTATTATTGTGTATTTTCATATCAAGCAAACTCAAAGAAATGCCCCATTTCCACACAAAAAAAACAAACAAAAAAATATACTATCAAGGATGTAGTCATGCCAGGTTTAGGATTTTTTGTACGATGTGCGGACTCCTTGTTTCTTTTTTTTTTTTTTGCGATATAGGGTAAAATATTATCCCTCATATCACCCACTTTTCTATTCATAGAAGACTTTAATAGCTCATAAAAGTTCATTACCAAAATTTAAACAGATTCTAGATTTTTTTCCCTACGATTTGAGACCCAAATAATGCCAATGCTGAATATAAGGTAAAAGTCCGAGTCAGTCTTTTCCCGCCATTTTTAAAACTAAAGATCCCGAAAAGGAGTTCCATAACCTATCAATATTTTTAGCTTATTTTGCTCCTCAACTAATGCTTTTCTGACTTATAGTATCAATTTTAAATTCTAGATTTTATTTTAATTTCACCTGATTTCATCCTTAAAGGAACTCAAACAGACGTAATGTTAACCTTAACTCTTCTGATGCTGCACGTATCGTTCGCTTAGAAATATCTCACATGATTTGCAGTCATATATAGAAGAAAATTGAAATGCAATCTAATGATGTGAATTTTGAGCGTGTGATTTTTCATAGTTTTGTTTTTCAAGTTTTATATCCATTTCTGTTATTAATCTACTATTTTTAGAAATAAAATAACATAGTAAGACAAACATTTTGAAACAGCTTCACTTGATATTTACCTGGAATTATACCCATTGTAGTATATAATAAAGGGAATGACGTTACAAATGTAGACACACTGTATCCAATTAGATTTAAAACTCCTCCAAAGATCATAACAGGTCGCTCCCCAAACTTTTCAACAAAGGGCATTGCAATAATGGCTGGAATAGACAAGTGATATCTGAAGTACAAAAGAAAACATGAAATACGGGACAAAAATAATCTTGTTAGGGAAAGATCGAACTACGACTTATGTCACTCCTAATTACATTGTTTACTGAAATAATAAAATGGTAATATGTGTGGGAATATTCCCGTTGTTGAAAGAACTTTGTGAAGTTACTTGTGATCAAGTTATTCCCGGTTCTGTTGATGGATCTCTTGGTGTACCGCATCCATATATATTTTTTACTTATAATAAGGCAAATCAAATGCGAAAGTCATCTCCAATAGGACATTTATATATGACCCTTCATTAAAAATTTTCAGCCACCTTAAACCAGAAGAAATTCATATCCCCATAATCTACATTTTCTTCGTCTTTCTTACTACATGTAGCACTCGTAGGAAGTAGTATCTAACTAAAAGATGCAGTCATTTTCTGTAAATTAAATGATAATCTTTCACAACACTAAGGTTTTCTACCATTATGCAGAGATACCTAAATCAGATTTGACAGATAGTTTTAAAATTTTTGTTTTAAATGCTTTTCATTTCATAATTGATTGGTTTGGTCCTCGACTGTTAGAATTCAAACACCACTGATTAGTCTTATAATGAGGTGGCAAGTACATACCATATTCTTGGCTTCAGCTAATTATTGCATAGCAGGAGATGGCAATACTGTCGACACACCTGGTCTTAAATCCGATTATGATTTTGTCATGTACATTGTTTATTAAAACCTTCTACTCCATATCATAATCAAGTTGTAAAATCACTAAATATAAAGTAACTTACCTCCTGAATGTCCTATTGCTGTATTCAATGCTCCTATAACCGTCGTTGATGTTAAGTTTACTTCAAATTTGTCCATTATATAGATATAATATATTCCCATTGCACTCGTTGATCCCACTGACAGAAAAGTTAGTACAAAATAGGCACCAACTATAACTAATCCCCAATGACAACATGCTGCTAATTTGGTCAATTTCTCCAAATACTTATTCATTTCGTCAGTTAAACTGTCTGAAAAAAACCATCTTTATAATAAAGTGATTTTGTAATACTTATAATTCATGTGTATTTTTCTTTATTTCATGCATTTTTTTTTATCTTCTCTTCCTTTACCATCTCGTTGATGAAGTAGACAACATAAATAGCATCGTATCCTTCGTGATAATTATTTTTACTGCAATTTCCGCTAGATTTTAAGTGTATCCGTGATTAATACATTTTTACAGAGTTGATGCATTTCGTAGATAAACATAACGAAAGACATACAATTTCAAGAGGTCAACACTTGTCTTCGATAATAGAACAAGTGTTAAGTATGTCAAATTTTAAATAGTCTGGTCTTTAGAATGGTGTTTGATTTAACAGAGACTATTTAAGATCTGCTACGAACTTTTCAGAAAGATAAAAATATTCAGAGGTAACTGAAGACAATGACCCATGCGATTCCTGACTTTTGGAAGACACATGAACATCTTTTAATGATAAATAAGCATTGAAAATAACATTGCATTAATTTGAAATAACACTAAAGTAATGGGTTTATTCATTTTTAAAATTTTTAAAATTGTACTTTTAAAATCCTAAAATTTAGCTAATAAACTGCAATACTTTTTATTAATGGATTTTAATGTCAGATTTTTTTTTTAGATTAATTATCGGAAATGTAGTACCTGTTTTATTGAATCCTAAATCATCAACTGACTTTAAATCTTTGCCTTCAATGACTTACTTGCAACATTAACTTTGGTTATTGCATTGTACGGATGTTAAGATGATCTATATATATATATATATATATATATATATTATCTAATAAACAAGTTTTGTGCATGATGTTGTTAATTGGTAGTAAATAGAGGCAACAGTAGTATACCGCTATTCAAAAGTCATAAATCGATTAAGAGAAAACAAATTCAGGTTACAAACTAAAACCGAAGGAAACACATCAACTATAAAAGGAAAACAACGGAACAACAAAAACACTGAAGTGCAACAAAAAACAAATGCCAACATACATAGAAACGGACTATTTGATAACAACTGCCATATTCCTGACTTGGTACAGGACATTTTAAGAAAAAATGGTGGGTTGAACTTGGTTTTATGGCTAGCCAAACCTCCCGCTTATATTGCAAGGTTAAAAAATACCGCTAAAATGACAACACTACGTGAATGGAATACAGGACAAATAAACGCAAGAACACTCAGCACAGAGAAATACATAAATTAATAATATAATAGTACATTACAACATGTAAACCGCAGAATAACAACGGACATCTCCCATAAATTAACGACAGCACAGGACACCACTTACTGCGCGTAAACCACTTCATTAATTCAGGTTTAATGATGTAGTCATTTCAGATTTAGGAACTTTTGTCAGATGTTCGGACTCCTTAGGTTTTTTCCTACGATACAGGGTAAAATATTTTGCCCCATATCACCTACTGCTCTTTTCATAGAAAACTTCAATAGCTCATAAAAGGTCAAATGAATTATATGGAATGTCTTGTGCGACTTGAAAATAATACATTGTTTTCACACAATGATATGTCAACAGTGGTAATTTAATGATGTCTCTTTATTTCTGATTGTTTGCCTCATTTTCAGTACCTGTATGTCATAATTTGTTCAATCTAAGCAAAGAGCATCCAAACAAATAAAAGTTACATGTACTGGCATTTAGAAAAAACTAGATCATAATATTGAGATCAGTTTCCTGTCTTGTAATAGCAAGGAATATACTAATTATTAGAACAAACTATAATTTTTCTTTCGGTCAAACACTACAGAATACATAAATAGATAATACATTATTAAGATAGAAATTTCATGGAATATGGCGAAGTAAATACACGGATCTTAAACGTCTCCATTTGATATATAATTAATATTTTTGATGAATTTAAACGTAATTGGTAAAAAAATAATTTTTATATGTAATTGTCTAAAATTCTGAACACTACTGCATTTATTTACCACATGAAAGATACTTGAAATTTACCGGAAAATTATAGCTAAAAATCTAAACAATTTAAGATTAATGATTTTAAATTCATACACCTGCGGTCACTTTTTCATCAAATTGACCGTTAAAGTCTAAAACAGGCTTAAACAGGCCGGTCAAAAGCCAAACTTTTTTTGCGATAGTTGTTACCTCGGGGCGATGTAGAACTTTATATATTGTAAGGGCACCAGCATATTGAAGACAATATATTGACGTCTAGTATTATTTTTGCCTTTTTATTTAGTTGTCTTTTAGTCTTTTGTCTGTAGTTGGTCTTTGATTTGTTTTTCTTTATCTCTAGTGGTTTAAGTTTTTTGTCTTTCTTTCTTATTAAAACTGTGGACTTTTGAAAAGATTCTTTTAATTTTCTTTTAGTTTTTTGTGTCTTTGGGTTGCTATCGCATTGACGTATATCCCACGTCTCCTTTCATTCATATTATGATAAGTACAATAATAATTTAAAAACTGAAGATTATCAATAATAAAATGAACAAGGTAATAATCAAATCAAGCAAGTGCCGTTAAGCCACAGTTGACTATGTAGCACTGGATTCTTGGCGGATGGTAGCATATGTTATGAAATCCTGGTTTGTAATAGATTGGCGTGAAAAAGTCTGATTGCTAAAACATACTTACTCGAAGGACAAAAGTCCACATAATGCATATACACATGTTAATGTCACTTACATGGACTTACAATCTAATTATAATACATTATAAAATATAAATGTGCCTGGTGTACCCAAAAGTAAACAGTACGCGTAACAAATACGCTTAATATATGTAAGATCATATATATATAACATTGCTGATTGTCTTCACCGATATGACTTTGATTTTAATCAACAATTTCAGATAGTTAAACATGTTATCCTGTATTGTTTTTACTTTATGGTTCTACATCCTGTCGATACATTTTTGGGGGCATTTTACAATGTTTCACTGTTTTTGAATGTTTTACAATTAAATCAGCTCAGGTGTAGCGATTGATTTAATCGAGTATGAAAATCTGAAACATCCATCAGTTGAATTAGGAACTTGAACTTGCTGTAGTAATCAGTTGAAATTGGAGCTGGAAAAGAGAGAAGGATACCAAAGGGACATTCAAACTCTTTAAGTCGAAAATAAACTGACAACGCCATGGCTAAAAAAGAAAAAGACCAACAGACCAACAGACAAACACAGTACACAAAGCACAACGTTAGAAAACTTAAGACTAAGCAACTGGAACTTGTGGTATTTATCAGTTGAACTTGGAACTTGAATTTGCGATAATTAATATTTGAACTTGGAACTAGAACTTGCAGTAAGGGTAATTATTTTCAGTTCCAAACTGATGACTCGAGTACATTTCAACGTATGTATTTAGGAGTAGAATAATAGATTAATATGATTAGATTGAAAAAGTGTAATGCGTTCGAGAATGTTCTTTTGCCGACTATCACCGTTATCTGTGCTGGCACGATAAAAATCAAGCTGAACATGTCAGTTAAGTGCAAAATACGGTAAATGAACTTATTGATTATGTTACTGCAATAAATATCCGTCAATCAATCAGTAGAGAATAGGGATTAACAAATGAACTAAACTCTTAGATATGCAAAGAAAACATTCACCATGTGTAATTTCAAATTCATTAACCGAATTTACTGATTTATGATTATTAAATTGTATTGATTTATAAATTTGCTTTCATAATAGAATATTAACATACTATACCTTCCAATATTTATCCAAGGATATACATGCCAGCAATTTATTTATGATATGAAGAAAATTTTATTAATGTACAAGAAGGAAGTTACTTATCTCCAAAACAATGATTTATGTTTTTCTCTCAGTCAACCCAGACCCGCCTCTGACTTTGGAAAACAAAGGTTCAAATATATTTTTAGGGAACAATTTATTATAAGATGACACGCATTTCGAATAACAATATGGCATATTTTGTAAGAATAACTTATAGCATGTACATGTAGCAGCATGATAAATTGGTAGTTCACCATTTAGAGGAAAACACTATCAAAATAATAATTTTGAAGTAACCGTGTTCAAGTAGAATTTAATTTGACGATAACATTTTAAACTCATGTAAGTGACAATTTCAGCTCAAGGAAGTGATAATTTACATGAAAGCTGCTATGTTAATCAAACGTGGATTTGTGTGTTTCCAAAGCATTGAAAATTGCAGTAATTTTTACATTTTGTTCTGTTAAAATAAATTGGTTTTTATTCCAGTCGATTTTGTAGATAGGACTTGCACATTAAATTTTGTGTTTGTATTGTTTTTTTTTTTAATTCATTCACATTTTCAGACTGGAGACTGAGCTTGGCATATTGTATAGACATCTGTTTATTGTTGAAAACGTGATGGATGAAAAATGTAATCAAACCTTACTAATTTTAAATATCGTTTCAGAATTTAATATATCATATGGTCAGTTAAGACCAAACTAAGAACGAACCAGAAACCATTGTTCAGAATGTATTGAGTATTCATCTTTTCATCGTCATAAAAATATATTTCCACCATAATCGTACTACATAAATGAAATATATGAATACATAATTTCACTTTTTATGTCTCAAACACTAAATACAGACAGATCTTTAAGGTCAAATCAAATTCCGTTAATTATTTCTTTTAAACATCTATTTTAACTCGATGAATATTAATTTCCCTAATACACGTACTGTACCAAGGAATTTTGATTCTTCATTATGCTTATACTACGATAACTTATTTCCAGACTTCCAAATTCGAATTTGACCAACAAGCAGATGAATAAGAAAAGAATAAGGTCTCAATTTTGTTTAATGTTTTACAAAAGTAACCATTTGTAATTGGATATTTACAAATTTGTCTATACAATACACCAAGTCTATCGTTTGACTAAATATACCATAATTTAAAGGGACATTAGCTGTCAAATTCATGTTCACCGATTTGACTCAAATTCTCATATTTGATTTATAACATACTAAACGTATATCCAAATTACAAAAAGTCTAAAATAAACAATTAACAAGCATGACAAAAAAGTTTTTTTTCTTAATATAAATTATGGATGACGATTACAACCCTTTGCGAACCATGAATTTTATCTTTTTTTCTTCA